AGCAAGGTAAGACTGTACCACCATGATAAAAGACACCAATAATGGAAAGATAGCAGAGAATTTAATACAATACAATACAATACAATAGGTCAATAGGTCACTGCAAGCAAGCCAGCATTTAACTGGTAGAAAGGGCAAGTTTAAAAAGATATGTTTTTAGCCGTGATTTAAAAGAATGAATAGAATCAGACGCCCGGATGCCAATCGGGAGATTGTTCCACAGCTCCGGTGCAACTAGAGCAAACGATCGATCACCTCTAGATTTCAGTCGAGATCTGGGCTGAACCAGCAGTAACTGTGAGGATGACCTTAAAGCCCTAGCAGGAGCATAAGGGTTTAAAAGGTCCTTAAGATAGCTTGGTGCAGTGTTATTGGTAATTTTAAAAGTAAACAACAAAATTTTAAATTGAATACGATATTTGACAGGCAACCAGTGCAGATCAGCGAGGACAGGAGTAATGTGGGCAAACTTCTTGGTTTTAGTTAGAATGCGTGCTGCAGCATTCTGAACTGTCTGTAATCTATGTAAAAGGGAAGAGTGGAGACCACAATAAAGTGAATTGCAGTAATCAAGCCTTGACGTTACAAAGGCGTGGATCAGCTTTTCTAGGTCTTTATACGGGATATAGCGCCTGGCCTTAGAAATAAGGCGAAGCTGGTAAAAACTGGATCTGACAACAGCAGACACTTGTTTATCAAGTTTAAATGAGCTGTCAAATAAGACACCCAGATTCCTAACAGTGTCAGAGAAAGAACTAGTGAGAAAACCAAAGGCATCCTGAAGTTTGGCACGAAGGGCATTACTACCAAAAATCATAATTTCAGTTTTCTTATCATTAAGGATAAGAGTATTTGCCAAAAGCCAAATAGAAATCTGCTGCGACCATATTATACCTGCTAACTAGAGCTAAGTAATTAGTTTGTGAAATGCAATCAGTTTCACTCACCAAAACTGGAGCATAGATGTCCTGGATGGTCTGCAAAATATTTGTGAGAATATTTGTATTTATTTTGTTTGAAGGTGTCTATTTAGGTATTCAAGATGAACGAAAATGTAATGTCAAGGGAAGAAGGCCTAACTATGAATTTAACCTTAGACAAGTAATCTGGTGGATGGAAAAACAGTCCTATAAATAACAGTAACTTTGCTGTCTTTCTTTTCATTAGAAAATGATGCACAGTTTTGATACATTTTCAGGTTTCATAAACAATGTAACACAATTTAAATGCTTTGTATTGATTTAAAAAAACAAACAGTCTCTTTTCTGTTAGTGGGCTACAATACTAAAGTGCTTCAAAGCTTTTTTCGTAATAATAAAAAGAGTAAAGATGAAACACCATCACAACAGTAAGGCACTGACGCAGCAATGCAGGTTTTGTTCGTATTTATGTGAAAATGCTGCAAGTTTTCTTAGTCTCAGGGGACAAATTTTCACTTGGCCTTTTCTTTCATGTTGTCAGTGAGCTTGAAGGGACTACTATTTTTATTGAAGCTTTTATTTTGGAGTGAATGATCGACCTGTTCAGCGGCTCTAGGTATTTATGCTCAGTCTGAGTGCGAGAAGAAATGGCTGCTTCTTGCTGAGAGATGGGGGGATGAGGTAGCTCGGGTGAGTAAGGGGAGGATAGATATAACAAAAAGAGGAGGAAAGGCAACAAATGAAAAGAGAGACAGACTGTTTTCTATCTAGTCCCTCTGCACCTTAAGGGACAACTTGATATACTCTAATGTCTGTTTATGGATTAATGATAATCTCAGCCAGTCCCCCCAATCCACCCACTCCAACTCCATTTCTACAATCCAACAGAAGCCGAACAACCAGCAAGAGCAGAAGCATTAATATAGGAGAATGAAATGGAGGAGAGGGTGTGTTTGTTTAGTGTATGTATGTGGCCAAAATATAGACAGACAGAGGGTGTTTTTTTCTGCCCAGAGAATTAGAAGGAGAAAAAAGGCCTTCAATTTTCCACTTGAGCAGATTTCAATTTACTCACACACACCCCTCCGTGACGCCGTCCTCCCATTGTTATTGACAGCATTTAGACTGGCCCATGGCAGAAACAGTGTATGTCGCACACACGCCTTATGGAGAAAGATGTACACTGTATATCTGGTGGGTTGTTTTATTTTCTGTCTGTGGGACTGATAAAGTGAACTGCAGCTGTGGACCATACATCATTAAATGATGTGGGTCCAACACATCACTTCTTTTTTGTTTTTTAAACAAAATGCACAGAGAAATAGTACCATTACATGTTTAACATGTATCTGTTTAACTCAACAGATACTAAATATCCTGTACTGCTGTTAAACTTGTTAGTACAAACTTCATTCACTGATTTAGTCTATCAGCAGAGGAAAATCATATATATCCTTCCATCACATATATCAAACATTCATGAGTTCCATCGTTTAAAATGTGATGATTTTGTGCATTTTTCTATTTCAGGACATTTTCAATTACGTGCAGCAAACTCTCAGTCTATTTTCTGATGCATTTCAAAGGTTAAAAGCTCTGTTAGCATTTGTGTTTTTACCTTTTTGTTGATTTTTTGCTCTATTTGCACTGTTATGCAAACAAATAGAGATCGGAAGATGAGTAGCAAAAGCAAAGGTTGGATTTGTGCTTGTAAATGATCGATTGTGTCACGTCAGACATGTTACAGTGAACGATGTGATCTGCAGTCAGGATATTGAACTGCTGTTGTTCTTAGACTGCACTATGCACCAAGGGAATTTTCACACATCATCACCAGAGGCCAACAAGTCTTTCAGGGTTTGTTTTGAGTGCACAGACTGGACTGTGCTGGTTGTGACACCTTCACAACCTACATCAGCTTCTGTAGGGACACTTTGATTCTAGTAAGGACTGTTTGCTGTTTTCCCAAGAATAAGCCCTGAACATTAAAGAAATCCTTCACCAGAAACGCAGACATTCAAGTCAGCGATAAAGAAGGTATTTTCAACACCAACTGAAAGGGCGATAGATGCGGCCAAAGGTGGAGTATAAAAGAGAAGCAGAGAGTAAATCGGGAGCATCAAGGTTCACTCACAGAAGAGCAGCCATCAATGAGTGCAAATCCAGTCAATTCAACCTGTTTTATAGGTGGTTTGATGGGTTGCCACGCAGGAATGCCTGCTGTGCTTTAATATCTGTCCTCCCTCGGACTACTTCAACTGATGCTCCTGTTTCAATGACACCTCTATGCCTCCACCTCTTGAGAGGCTGCTCCAGCACCACTATCTTCTGTCTCCTGCACACAACAACCCCAACACCACTGCAACTGCAACACCCACTACATCTGACCATCTGCCCCCATCCTTCTCAGCTAACAAAGCAAGGGCACAGCTCAGAGACTGCGTCCAGGGAAAGGAGCAGGCCCAGATGGTGAGTGACAAGACTCCTGAAGGATTGTGCAGCCCATCCAGCTGAAACCATTCAATGGGTTTTCGGCTTGAATCGATGATAAGGCAACGTCCATGTGCAGTGTGCAGTGTACAGCTCAAAATCCTGTACATGCAAATATAGTTCTCCACCTCAACACTGCTAAAATAAAGGGGGTTTCAGAAGATCTAGGCCATCCCACTTCTATGCTCATGATACAGTTATTTACAGCTGTGGTTCAACTCTTGTCCAAGCCACTGACTCCTTGCAGAAAGCCTTGTTGCTGCAACATTCTTGCATGTGCTGGATTATGGTGATATTCTATATGAATGCTTCTGCTCAATGTCTTCGAATGGTTGATTCTGTGTATCGTGCTTCTCTGAGGTTCATCACTAACTGTAAATTTCAGACTCACCACTGTGAGTTATACTCTCAGGTAGGACGGCCTGCTTTGGTAAGCCGGAGGAACTCTCATTTATACAGTTTTATATATAAGGCGATACTTGGGTTGCTGCCTGTTTGTAATGAAACGTGCTGGTCGGTATTCTCTTCGTCCGCATGGTTACTTGTTGCTTTCTGTTCCATTTGCCCAAACTGAACTTGGTAAAAGAGCTTTTGTCCATTTAGCACCCTCGGCTTGGAACTGCAGAAGGAAAATGACTGAATTCATTTCATTAAGTGCTTTTAAATCTAAACTACGAATCCTTGAGGCCAAGTCCATAACATGCAACTGTTTCAATTAGATTGATTGTCATTTTAACTGACTTTTTATTTTATTTGAATTTTATTTTTTATTTTATTTGTATTCTTTCACTTAGGATTTCTCTAGCCTGCCAATCAAACAGAGGTCTCTCCAAAATGTATGTTAAATGAAGGTGGGAAAAAGAAGGTTGAATATGTGAAAAACACAGTTCATCACCATAGCTCTGTTTTTGAGAGAATTCTCCTGGAAAAACACTTTTTTAATAACTTTGCAGTTCTAGTGTAAAATACCTGAATCTGTGGTGTATCCTTACTGGTTGGATGTGGTAACAGAGATAAATAATCATTCCACAGATTTAGATTTTAGTGTTGTTTATTTTGAGAATTCATTGATTGAAATTAAAAGAAAAATACAACTTGTTGAATAAAGAATTGCCAGCAAACTATGAGTGGATAAAAATCGTTAAGGAAATCCGTTAAATGGAACAGTTGACCTTGTCTCTGAGACTTGAGAGTGTAAAGTATGAAACGTGCTGGGAACATGGAGATGATCTCAGTCTGTGAAATGAAATATCTGACAAACTGAATGATCAGTATTTTTGGTTCCTGTATTTTATGTGAACTCAATAACATTTTCCTTTATGCTTTGTTTTTAAATAACAACATGCCAAATAGGAATGTGTGTATGGTATATAGTAACTCTGTATTCTGCAATTTATCACACTAAGCTTTACTGAGATATGTAAAGCCAATAATGTCCTTCCTGACACAACATTGATGATTTTCTTATTTTACAGTCTTTATTTTACTGAATTAATTGTATTAATTTAGTAATTGTTGGAAGTTATTAAATGTGTATCTCATGTTATCCTAAATAAAAGAGTCATTAATCCTGCTCTTGCCTTATTGCAGGTAGTGTATAAGAATAATGACATCCGTCTTGAGTTGTCCCGTCTGGCTCGAATTGTGGACCCCAAGATGAAAATCCAGGGTGAGGTATCCTACAAGTGTGAAAATGTGGCCACCCTTGACCCAATTTCTTTTGAAACCCCTGAGGCCTATATCAGTCTCCCTAAGTGGAACACCAAGCGGATGGGATCCATCTCTTTCGATTTCCGTACGACTGAGCCCAATGGACTCATCCTCTTTACCCATGGCAAACCCCAAGAGCGCAAAGATGCTGCACGGAGCCAAAAGAACACCAAGGTCAGTTCATAATCTCCTCAGTCACTTGATAATTTCTGTTTTAAAAAATGCTTGACTGAAAACAGTTTGAAAGGACTGATGTGTCTTGACATCAAGGTCACCACCTGGTGAGAATGGCAAACCAACAAATTCACCTGTGTTTGCGAGGCTGTTGTAGACAAGTCGTTCCCAAAGTGTGTTTGCTAGGGCCCTCTTTGTTTTACAAGAAAAATCCCCACTTCGGGAACCACTGTTGTAGACAATAAAATTTTCTAGCTTTGTGACCATTTGTTTAAGAGGAGTAGTTCATTTAAAATTAGATTTGCTGTTTATCTTAATAACACATTGCATATTAGATTATCACAGATCACTTTAACCATAGAAGGGTTCACTGGAGACAAAATGCCTCTTTTGTCAAAGGCTTCTCCTCCTTTGAAACATAGAAGTTGAAGTTCTCTTTCTCCAAATTCCAAATTAGACCTAGATTCCTCTGAAGAGGTAGTGATTGCATTCCTAAATATAGATCTTTCAGATCCTTTCAGTCCTACAAGTCTTTGGGTGGGAATGCTTGCATAACACTGTTGCTGTTCAGTGCAATCTCGTGTAGCTTAATGTTTGATTTAGCTAGCATTGCTTGGGAAGTGCGCAGGACACCAATGGCCTTCGCTTCATTAGGAAAAGATGCAAGTCCATCGTCCACATAAAAATTGCATGTGATGAACTTCCTTGCACTGGTAGTGGAGTCATCTGCTTCCTGAGCAGCTGGTCTGAGGCAGTAAATGGCAACTGCTGGTAAAGGACTGTTGCCAAATGCA